GTGTGTGTGTGTGTGTGTGAGAGAAAAAGAGCCCTCCAGGGTACGTCTCTGTAGCCCTGCATGGCAGAGATAAGACCAACGCCTACCCAGAAGCCCATTTCTTGGGAATCAGAAAATTGTCCCCAAAGTCCACTGGTGACACACAATACTGTCTGTCCCCCGGCTACAGCAGACTCACAAGACCTCCCAACTGTCCAACAACACACTCCAGTGTCAGATCAAACTGCTTCTGTTGAGATACTGTCAACGGAACAGGCATGTTGTGCTCGTGTCTGTCAATGCATGTGCGTACGGAGGCTCATGTGAGTGAATATGGCACGACCACGGATGTGCTGCAATGTCCTCTGGGTCTGTGTGTACGTCTGTGCTGCTGCATGACAGTGAGCAGCGGGGCCTGTAATTCCTGGCTTATTTCTTTCATCTTGATAGGCTCTTATCAGAGCAGAGCAGAGCGGCAGCAGCCACATCCCTGCTCAGCTGTCCGCACCGCCACAGAGAACTCATATCACTCCACTACTCATAATATTACTCACACACACTGTGGGAGCATCAGGCTTTTTTAGTTTTAATATTTTTGTCTCCACTGCAAAACTGTGCATAGAGACAGATACATGCAACTGAGAGAAAATGGGATAAACCTTTGTACAGAATAAGATAATTAGCCTTACTGCTTTCAAAGAACTCAATAAACTTTGGTGCAGAAAAAAATGGAAATGTTCAGGGGTTAGCTGATATTTGCTGAGTGTTGCAATCTGGTGCAGATCCAAATAAAAATCTGGATCTATAGAATTCCAGTTTGGTTTCATAGGGGGTATGTTGTGCCTTGGTTGAAGTATGCACTCTTCTGAGTGACAAAATAGTTTCACATATTCCATTACATTTAGCTGACGCTTTCATCCAAAGCCACCTCCAATAAGTGCATCAACCATGAGGGTACAAACCCAGAACAACAAGAATCAAATTTATCATCTTGTCATGGCAAGCCAATATAATATGTATAGTATTATCAACAGCCTCCTTGCAAACAGCAGATAATAATGGGGAGTCAACAATTCCCATTTTAGAGGTCTAAACTATTCTTTGTGACCATTTGAATAAAAGATAAACATGGAGTTTTCTTGGCTCCATTCAAAATAATTGATCCCAGTATAATAGAATTTGACATATCTAAATGCAGCGAAATACAACTTGATCAAATGAGGCTACATACGACGCAGGATCAGACATAATGGAGCTAAATTTCAAAATATAAGCAGCTATAGTCAGTGATTATTACAGCAGGTAACAGGTTTCTCCACATTCCCTGAAAACACAGCGGACATGCAGAAGCCACAGCTCTGATGAGGACATATTCAGACTTACTGACCTTAACTGTACACAGCATTAAACAGTTTGTTTCTTTTGGCAGACAACAGAAATGTTATACCGACTGTAGACAGATAACTGTAGATAGAGAGACAAGTTTAGGTAAACAGGGCACTCTAATATAGGGCTGCTGTCAGAATGATCTATTCATTGATATGCATCTCCGTGGGACACCATTTCAAATTAACTGCTGCTTACTTTGCAAAAACGTATTGCAAATTTAAAAAAGGGCCTCGATTCTACTCAACTGTTTCCCCCTGATTTCCCTGAAAACTGTAAATGGACAAAGACGAAGGAAAGTTGGGGAACTGCTTTGAATAGCAAATGACAGGGACAGTGTTGGGCTTGTGCGCAGCCAGGCCATGTCCGCACCATATCTCTCCCCCATGATTGCAGCTCTTCTCTTGATTTGCATTACTGTGCTCCACTCTAAGCTCTGCCGGACCACAAAGAAATTGAGTCTTTGTATTTAATATTTGCTTTGTTCAAATGTCCATCAAACTCTTTTCCATGAGGACTCGGCCTTATCACAGGCAGTATGCACATTTCATCAACAGACAGAAAGCACCAGTCATCCTGCCTGGATCTGCTGCGATACATATGCTGTATTTATGTACAATTTATGTGTCATGTACAACATTAAGTCCTACATATATAGATATCGCATGAAATAAACTCATTCTGTTCCTTTCTGTCCACCAACTACACCTTGGTTTGGTGCGGATGTACTTTTCTATGTGGAGGAGCTCTATATGTGGAAATCATCAGATACAAACATGTCATCAGCACCACACTGCAGCACACACTGCTATAAAGGAAGAGCAGAGGAACCAAGATTTAAAGCTGACTCCTTCACCTTGAGAACATGCTTCAGAAGCTGAAAAACCTTCACTGAGACTTTTATTTGTAGCATTTGCAAATGAATCACACAGTTAGGCAGTATTTTGAACCCGGGGATGTAAATATGTTGAACTTTTCTGTCTCTCTGGACCAAAGAGGTGTGTCTTTCAAAAAAAAGTTACCCCCAACCCCTCCCACGAACTGTCTATTAGCCCTGAACTTTGCTTGAGGGTGGAGAAGTTGTTCTTGTAGCCATCCGCCTACACTGAGGTAGAGATAGTAACGCTGTGCAACCGTCCACCTGCAGGCTGCATTGGTAAAATCCTGCTGCCCACCTCGATCATCTGGACACCCACCAAGGTAGGTGACCCCTTACGCTGTTTGTCTCCTGTTGGTCTCAGGATTATACAGTGAACACCATGCATCTGGCTAAAATATATCTGGCTTATGAAAACACAGTTGCGCATTTGAGACTTTTTAATATCTCTTCAGGCCATTTGTTGCTTGATTAACTGACTTGTAGGGAGATGAGGACTGAGGAGTTTGGTTTTGGGAATGATGGAAATTTTGTTTCCTTCATTCGCTTAAACTTCAATAAATCATTA